CTGCGCTATGCCATGCTATGCTATGCCATGCTATGCTATGCTATGCTATGCTATGCTATGCAGCGCTATGCTATGCTATGCTATGCTATGCTATGCTATGCTATACTATGTTATGCTATTCTGCGCTGCGCTGTGCTATGCTGTGCTGTGCTATGCTATGCTATGCTGCGCTATGCTATGCTATGCTATGCTATGCTGAGCTATGCTATGCTATGCCATGCTATTCTTGGCTATGCTATGCTATGCTATGCTGTGCTAATGCTGCGCTGCGCTATGCTATGCTGCGCTAAACTAAGCTAAGATAAGCTAGTCCATGCTAAGCTAAGCTCAGCTAGGCTAAGCTATTCTAGGCTAAGCTAAGCTAAGCCAAGCGAGGCTAAGCTAAGCTAGGCTAAGCTAAAGCTAAGCTAAGCTATGCTAAACTAAGCTAAGATAAGCTAAGCTAAACTAAGCCAAGCTAAGCTAAGCAAAGCTAAGCCAAGCTAGGCTAGGCAAAGCTAAGCTAAGCTAAGCTAAGATGAGATAAGCTAAACTAAGCTAAGATAAGCTGAGCTAAGCTAAGCTAAGCTAAGTTTAGTTAAGCTAAGCTGGGTGAACCCAGGGGGCGCAACTGGGGGAACCGCGGGGCGGATCCTGGGGGATCCGCCCGGGGCGAGCCCCACTGCCGGCCCCTTTAAGCAAACCGGGTAAGAACCCTTCTAGGCAGAGCCTAGGTAGGGTAAAATACCATTCCAGAGACGTCAACGCCGCGAATCAACGTGACTGGTGCGTCCTCACAAAGTCCAAGTCATGCCAGAGCACCGTTCCTGGGACTACAGCGCCGCGAATCATCGTGACGCATCCTGACAGTTCTGCATCGTGCCAGTCTGGGAACACCATTCCGGGGACTTTAACCCTTCGGACCCTGCAAGTCTCAGTGAACTTTTAAGACGGTTTTGCGCGGCGCTGAAACGAGAACCGCCGTCCATCCTTGAAATTGCTGAAATCTCTTAAGACGAATGTGCGCGGCGCTAATGCGAGAACCACGTTTTGAAAACGACCCGCCCTCCATGTTTGGAGCCGTGGAGAACTTTGAAGACGAGAGTGCGCGGTGCCGAGGCAAGAGCCACATCCTTGAAAACGATTGGCCCTCCATTCTTGATCCTGTTGCATCTTCCAGGCTGCAGGAGCATACATGGTGAGGAAATCTTATGCGAAACGCCCGGCCCGCTCACCGACATGTCTTTGTGCGAAAGGGAAGAGTTATGTATCCGGAAATGAGATGGAGGGGGGCTCGGCGGGGGGCGGGAGGCGGGACGAGGCAGCGCGCGCGGCGCTCCCTCCTTCGTCTGGCTCAACAAAGAGCGGCGGCCGCGAGGGCGGCGGAGTGGGGCCAGGCCCGCCCGCGGGGGTCCCAGCCGCGGAGGCCCGGGCCACGGGAACGCGGACGACGACGACGACGACGACGACGAGGACGAGGACGACGACGACGACGGCGACGACGACGACGACAACAACGACGACGACGACGGCGACGAGGACGGCGACGACGACGACGTGGGAGTTCGGGCGCAGCAGAACGTAAGATTTCACGAAAGCTGGGCAACGTGATAGGGAGTGCTTCTCTTGTATCCTCTGCCCCTCTCTTGCCCCCTTCCGATGCCCAACTTGGGCCCGAGCTTTTTCTGTGGGCCTTAGAGGCCTCGGTGCTGGCCCCGAGGCGGCTGGTGCCACGCAGCGCGCGCCGGCCACTATCGCGAAGGCGGCAGCCGCGGCTGCCAGGCGGCCTCGCCGGGCCGCTCGCCGGCAGAGAAGGCGGGCTGACAAGCGGAGGCCGAGACCCACATTCCGGGGTTCAGCCAAGGGCGTTGGTCGCCTACGGGCAAGAGAGGCGGGCGCAGGGGTCTCGGCGGAGGACCGGGCACAGCGCGGAGGAGCCCGGAGTAAGCACGACACTGCCCATGGTCCTTGGCGCCTTGGCGGCCGCGGGGATCGGACGTGGGCTTTCGCAGACGGAGGCAGCAACGCCATCCCAACCCCCCGCCCGAGAAGCCAGCTGGGGGTGACGGCCGGGCGACTCCGCCCCCGCAGCTGCGCGAGAACGAGGTGGCGGCCCCAGAGGAGCAGGAGGCTGAGTCCGACCTCATCATCATCATCATCATCATCATCATCATCATCATCATCATCATCATCATCATCATCATCATCATCATCATCATCATCATCATCATCATCATCATCATCATCATCATCATCATCATCATCATCATCATCATCATCATCATCATCATCATCATCATCATCATCATCATCATCATCATCATCATCATCATCAGCATCATCATCATTATCATCATCATCATCATCATCATCATCATCATCATCATCATCATCATCATCATCATCATCGTCATCATCACCAGCGGGGGCCGAGGAAAGCAAGAAGGAGCAGGAGGAGAGCTGGTGGGGCTTCCAGTTCGTGCGGTTCACCGCCATCGGCAGTTGGTCCGGAGGCTACCGAGGAGAGAAGGGGCTCCGACGGGTGGATCTCCGGGCAGGAGAAGCGGGAGGTCTGCTCGGAGGAGCGTTCGTGACGGTCGGGAGGGTGGCCTTCGGAGAGTGCTGGCCCTGCGTGTCCTGGGGTGGGTCGCTCGTTCTGATGGTGGGCTTGGTGGTCGGGGTGGGCTACGGGCTGCATTCGGTGATCACCGCCGTGGACTGTCTGGTCGTGAAGCCTCTCAAGGCGTTGGTGACTCGCGCGTTGTGGGTGTTCAGCTTTTTCTTCCTTACCTCCGTCGGCCCGACATGTAGGCGAAAGGGGAGGAAAAGGTCCTGTGCCGGAGGTGTGGGGGCCAGTTGCACTTCGATCAAGGTCGATAGCGCCTTGCGCGCCAAGTTGCGCGCCTGGGATGCAAGTGGGAAGGCCCGCCGCGTGGTCATCGTGGTCGGCGACGCGGCGCGTCGTTCGGAGCGCCCACCCCTGAGTGCGGGGATGCAGCCGTGGAGGTCAGGATGCACGTGGCAGCGCAGTGCGGACCTCGGATCGGCGTCGGGGGGGCTGAGGACTATCCTGGAGTAGTCGCAGAATAAGACGCCCCACCTGTGCCGCGAGGCTCTGTGTGCTGATGGGGGGAACTGCCCGGTGTGCGTGGCGTCCTGCGGCTGCGTGACCGAGGAGACGGACGCCAACCTGGAGGCCTCGTGGCCCCGCCCCCCTTCGCAGGGCAGCGCGGGCGGCGGGGGCCAGCGCTTGGGTCTGCAGCAAAGGGCGTGGGGCGCTGGGGCTGTGAGGGCGTGTTAAGCTGTGCGGGGCGTTTCGACGCCGTGGGGGGGCAGGGTGTCTATCGCGGGGGTCAGCCTCGGACCCGCTGGCAGAGCTGCTCTGGGGCCCCAGCTCGGAGTCATAATCCGGGCCCGAACAGGCCAAGTGCGCGGCCCACGGGGTGCTCTATCAGGGAGGGGGCAATGTCTACCAGCTGTGGAAGCGTAGGCTCGGGGAGATGCGGTCCAAGTATCCCGTGAGGACAAGGGGGGGCCGAACCTCGGGGGAGGCGTCGGCGCGGCTGACCTCTGTTGGCAGCGCGGCAACATTCCATCATATACCAGGCCAAGCGCGGGGTCAAGAAGTGCGCCCTTATCGCTTGCGCATGCTTGGGCCGGGTCATTCGGGGCGGGGTGTTGCTCTGCCCGTGCCGCGGCATGCCGGGCGCGTCGGGGCCGAGCGACCTGCCCCGCGCGGCGGTCCAAGGAGTGACCGAGGGGCAGCGCGGGGCAGCGATGGGGGAGCGAGGATGAGGAGAGGACGACGCCCCGAAGCCCGAGCACGGGGAGGCCGCAGGCAGCGGAGGAGGCTGGGGGGACACCGCGAGGGAGGTCGAGGACGCCCCCAGGGACCTTCGCAGGAGGTGAGGTTCCAGGGTGAAGAGCCAGCGGCCTGCCCCCCTGGCTCCGAGCCGGGCGCCGAGGGCCGACCGCTCGCGGGCTGAGCTCGGGGTGTTGGCCAGCCGAGCGGCGGCCGAGACAGGGGGGCGGAGGGGGCCCGCGGCGCTGGGCATGAGTACCTGTCGGGGGAGCGTAAGACCCGGGTTTGCCAGGACTCGGGTTCGCCATCGTTTTTTGACGACCGCGCCTCGGATTTTGACGAGGAGGAGTTTCGTGGGATGTCTGCAGCGGGAGGCCTCGTCAAAATGCAGGCTCGGCCTCGTCATTTTTTGACGACCTCGTCGGGGATTTCCGAGTCCCCTGTACCCAGGTCTTACGTCCCCCTGAACCTGGAGAGGTGTTCGCAGGGGGGCCATTCTTCATCGCGCGCCCTCGACGTCGCCGATGGGCTCCAGCTGCCGGAAGGCTTCGACGACCTGGCGCGCAACGCCGTCGGGCAGTCGCTGGCGGCCCTCCGCCTCGAGCGCGGCAGCGTCGCGGGGGCGGGGGGGCTGAGGGCCCGAGGAACCTGGGGGAGATCGCCAACGAGCGTCTAGGGGTAAGTCAGGCGGACACTCTTCAGTCTCATAAATTGCAGTTGCAGTTGTTTCATTATTGTTTTGGTCACTTGGGCCCGCTCCCAGGGCTTCGAGAACAGCCCAGGAGACCCCCAAGAGGGCCCCAAGATGGGCCCAAAGACGAGTCCCTATGGCCATGTCAGGGCACGCTGGAGGCTTGGATTCTGACTCAGAAGCCTCTGATACAGTCACGCGGGGAACCCTGGAAGCGCCTGCTGGAAGCGTCCAGGAGCGCCTGGGGGAAGGTTTGGGGCAAGATAGCACGTACCCACGTACCCACTGTATCTGAAGTTGAGGAAGTGCGGATCTTCGCTTCCCGATCCGCAGCGGCCCATCCACACATGTGCACCTGCGCTTGCCTCTGCCTGCGAAGCTTCTCTGCCCCGCCGTGGCTGATTCACCGCTGTGCCAGCCACGAACATATTTCTTGCGGCGGCCGCGACTGCAGCACTTGCAGCGGAAGCGGCGGCGGCAGCAGTGGCAGGACAGGGCCGTGGCGGAGACGGGCGCTGCTCAGGGGAGGTCTGCCCCCACCCAGCTCGGGTTGGCAGCGGGCCGCGGTGCTGACGCCAGCGTCCGGAGGCATCCTCGCTCCGGGTGGGGTTCTTGCTGACCTTCGTGCGCCTCCTTCCTCGTGCCCTTTTCCTTCCGGCTGCGCTGTGGTCACCCAACTGGTTTCCCCCAGACAAGGGTTTCTGTTGGCCGTTGCTCCCGCTTCCGCCTCTGCTCTTCCTCCTTTGGCCTCTCTCCTGAGTATCGGGTTCTTCTTAGTGGTGGAACTCCTCCGCCTCGACCTCATTCACTCGCTTAATCACGCCTCCTTCTTTCTACACTCAGACTCACTCGTACTCAGACTCACTCATACCCACTCCGCTCAAACTCAGAGCCACTCGTACTCAGAGAAATCGTATTCACATACACGCAGATAACTCATTCACATTAAGGCTTGGTCATACTCAGACTCACACGCACACACAAACTCATCCCATACTCAGGCAAATGCGCACAGACTACTCGCACTCAGATCATTCACAGACTCAGCAAGAATGACTGTCTTGCCCCACAACATCTTCTCCTTTCAGAGCTCCGCGATCGTCGCGATGTAGCATGCATAGCATTTGGACATCCCCGGGGGGCAGTCGACCAGGGGTGTACCACGGGCCACACTCTTGGGGAGAAGGCTTGTTTTGGCCCCCGAACATCTTCTCTTTTCATAGCCCCTGGTCGTCGCGATGTAGCAGGCATCGCATCTTGGCACCCTCAGGGGGAAACGCACGGGGTTTACCACGTGCCCGTCCCTCAGATTTGTGCTCGCTCTCAGGAATGCCGCTTGTTCTGGCTCCCCCGCATCCTGACCATCACGACGGAGCAGGCACAGCACTTGGGCCCCCCAAGGGGGGGTCGGCCAGAAGTGTATCACGAGCCTCATGGCCCACCCACACCCAGACTCGCTTACACTCGTATCCACTCGGACTCAGTCGGCCAGTCTCGTTCCTACAGGGAGCTTGCAAGAAAAGAGATTCACTCATGTGGATCTCCCCCGTGCTCCTGCCCCTCCCCCAGCTTCTCCTCCAGCAGTGCCTCCAGCTCACGACTTGGTCCAGCACTCTCATCACCCGAGGGGGGAGAGGAAGGCCAGCTCGGTATCGAAGGGCACGATGCCACACCCTCGCAGGGGGACCTCTGCTTGAAGCGCTCTTCTCCCACTCCTTGCCCAAAACGCTCCAGTGCCCCCTCGTACTCTGTCCCCTGCCACCCAGCAGGGGCCATTCCGACTCAGCCGACTCGATTCGATTCGATTTCCACGGCTACCCATTCGAACCGATTCGATGCGGAGATTCTGGTTCGCGATTCCGATTTCGAGTTCCCCCGATCCGACTCTTGCCGAGTCGATGTGTCAGCCGCCGATTCCTGTCGATCAGGCTTCGCTCCGGAGGTAGACTCCCCAATCAGAGCTTGCCTCCGTAGTGGTTCTAGCGGATTCATGTGGTTAGGTGAGGTGCGTCGCCGATTTCGGTGGCCGGCCCGGGTGCCCGGGTGCCCGGGTGCCCCGGGCTGCCCGGGTGCCCAGGTGCCCGGGTGCCCGCGGGTGCCCGGGTGCCCAGGTGCCCGGGTGCCCGGGTGCCCGGTAGCCCCATAGCCCTATAGCCCTACAGCATTATAGCCTTACAGCCTTATAGCCCTATAGCCCTATAGCCCTACAGCCCTAGTAGCTCTATAGCCCTACAGCCCAATAACCCTATAGCCAGCCCTATAGCCTTATAGCCTTACAGCCCTATAGCGCTATATCCCTATAGCCCTACAGCCCTAAAGCCCCATAGGCATTATAGCCCTATAACCCTATAGCCCTGTGGCCATATAGCCCCATAGCGCTATAGTCCTACAGCCCTATAGCCCTACAGCCCCATAGCCCCATGTCCCTATAGCCCTGAAAAGAATATGATATGTTTTTTCTCCGGAATCATTTCATGCTCTACAGTGTTCCACGCGGTTGCACGTCCAAGTTTTTACGTCCATGACGGTGCGCAGCATTTGCAGAGGTGGGCGACTCGAGCGAGGCGGAGGAGGAGGAGGGAGGAGGAGGAGGAGGAGGAGGAGGAGGAGGAGGAGGAGCAGGAGGAGGAGGAGGAGGAGGGAGGAGGAGGAGGAGGAGGAGGGCGGAGGAGGAGGAGGAGGGAGGAGGAGGAGGAGGAGAAGGGCGGAGGGAGGAGGGAGGAGGGGGAGGGAGGAGGGAGGAGGGGGGAGCAGGAGGAGGAGGAGGAGGAAGGGGAGGAGGAGAGGAGGAGGAGGAGGAGGAGGAGGAGGAGGAGGAGGCGAAGGAGGAGGAGGCGGAGGAGGAGGATGGGCAGCGCCCATGGAGCGTCCAGACGGCGCGCCGACGCTGGCGCGGTGTCGCTGACCTCTGGGTGCCTCGCCGTCGCGCCCTCGCCGTCGGCGCCGCTGAATCACTCTGTCGCCGCCGCCGCCGCCGCGGCCGCCGCCGCCGGAAGGCCGTCCGCCGACGGCCGCCCCGCGCTGGCATCGTCGCCCGCCGCGCCGCGGCAGGGCGCCCGCGGGAGCCGGCGGACCTCGTACGATCCGTTGGATCATCGAGGGCGGAGCGAGCCACGCAGGTCGTCACAGCAGGAGCCCGCCGTACAAGGACGAGCGCACGGCGGCGGGCGTCGGGCGCAGGGCCCTCGAACTGAGAGCTTGGACGATTGACGCGCGCGAGCGTGCATGACGACATGCGCCGAAAACGTATCTGACGGCATGCGACGACGTATGCGACGACGTGCGCGCGACGACATACGGCGACGTCCATGACGTTTTGTGACGACGAAAGTCGGGATGAGGAGGGTAAGAGGGAGGGCATACCAACTCCACTTTTATTTCTGCCCTCCCAATTTCGATTTCGATCTGGCTTGACGGGGTCCAGTATCCGATTCGATCTGGCTCGGCCCTTCCGACATCTGCCGAGTCGACTTGTCAACCGATTTCTGTTGATCCGATGTTCGGGCCGATCCGATTCGACTTATCGATTCGATGCTGGGGCCGCCTGGCCCAGGGACAATGAGTTCTCCCCCACCACATGCTGGAGGTGCGTAGGACCTGTTACCTCGTGGGATGCAGACATGCAGCTTGCCACCCCCCGCTCCCCCTTCGCCCCTCGCCGCTCCGAGCGCCGCCTACGCCGAGCACTTCTCCCCGCGCGCACAGATCGCACCTGCCCCCTGGGAGGTCTCTGGCGCCCTGAGCAAGGGGGCAGGTGGTCGCAGGATTGCGATCAAGAGATGCCCGAGGGGCCCCGTCTCGCAGCAGCGCCCAGAGCGATGATCAACACATTAGGTCCTGATCCTGCTCGCTGGCGTCGTTTCGATTAGTCGTCGTCGTCGTCGTCGTCGTCGTCGTCGTCGTCGTCGTCGTCGTCGTCGTCGTTGATCGTCCTCTGCAAGATCGTTCTCAAAGGCACAACGCTTTTTCATGTCGAGGCCGCGGCACAAGGCGCTCAAGACTGGGCCCCCCCCCCCGGCGGCCTCTCTGACGACCGCTGGCCCCCCCCCCCCAGCGGCGGCAGAGGATCGCTCCGGGTCGGCCAGCCCGCGCGGCGGCAGAGACCAGACCACGGGGGCATCCGACGCAGTGTTTTCTCGCCAGCGCGTAGGCGCGCCTGCAGACGCCCGCCGCGCCGATATCTGGCCGCCGCCGCCAGGCTCCCCGCGGCCCCGGGCGCCGGCGGAGGCCGCCGCCGCCGCGAGGCCCCACCGCCCGAGCGAGCCGCTGCCGCGCGCCGCCCCGCCGCCGCCGCCGCAGCGAGCCCGCGCGATCCCCGCGGCCGACCGCTGCTGCCGCCGCCGATCCCGAGCGGCCGCTGCCCGGGGCGCGCGCGTGCGCCCGCGGGCGCGCGATGGCGCCACCGCGCGCGCCGCCGCGCCCTCCGGGCGCGCCACCGCGCGCGCCGCCGCGCCCTCCGGGCGCGCCGCGCGCCGGGGCGCCGCGCCGCGCGGAGGCGCGCTGCGAGGCCCTCGCCGTCGCCGCCGCCGTTGCCGCCGCCGCCGCTGCCTCTTGCCGTCGCCGTCGCCGTCGGGGGAGGCGGGGGAGGAGACCGCTGCTCGCCGGCCCCGAGTGCGGTGTGCCGTGTGCGGAGCGCGCGCGCTTCCCGCGCCCCCGAGGATGCCGCCGCCGCCGCGGTCGATGCGGTGGCCCGCGCGAAGGCTTCGGAGGCCGCCGCCGCCGCAGAAGCCCGCGCGAGGGCGGCGGAGGAGAGGGCCGCGGACCTCGCGCGGCGGCTGGCGTTCGCTGAGGGCGCGCTGGCGGCGGCGCAGCTCAAGCAGGTGACATCGGGACCTCTTGGGGCCCCTTCGAGCCATCTCTGGAGGTCTGCACGGGGGGCTTCTCGGGCCTTCCTGGGCGGCCCTGGGAAAGCTTGGCCTCGTGGAGCCCTCTTGGATGGGGTGTGGGAGCTCGTGGCGCACTGTTTGGGGCACTTTTGGGCCTCTCTGGGGCCGCCAGTGCGCCATCTCTGGGACCGTCGGAATCTGAAAAGGCGGGAAGGCAAGCAACTACACCAGGCTTGATACTGTTTCTCTCTTTGGCCTCTTGAGGGCCTCATTTGGAGTCTAGGGGGCCAGCTCAGCTCAGTGCCGTCTTGGAGCCTCCCTGGTGCCTCTTGGAGGCATGCTGGTGGACGCCTGGGCCCTCTGGGCCGTCTTGCGTCGTCCTGGAGGCGAGCTGGAAAGTCGAGCGTGCCATCTTGGACACTCAAACGTCTCGCGCCCCCCCCCCCCCCCGAGTCCAGAGCCTCAGGACGACGGGGGCCGCAGGGGAAGGAATGGGGCGGTCATGGAGCAGCTGGCGCGCGGAGCCGCCTGCGCCCCGCAGGGGGGGGGGGGAGGTCGGAGCCGCGGGGCGACGGACTCAGGCCCCGACGCCGCGTTCTTTGCAACCTGGCTCCTTTTCTCGTCCTCCTCCTCCTCGCCCTCGTCCTCCTGCTCCTCCTCGTTTCTCAGGGTACCCATGCTCCTCCTCCTCCTCCTCGTCACAAGCTGGCCCCCTCCTTATTTTTTGTTTCACTCCTCCTCCTCCTCCTCCTCCTTCTCCTCCTCAACGCCCTCCTCCACCTCCTCCACCTCCTCCTCCTCCTCGTCGCAACCTGGCCCCTTCCTTCATGCTTTTTCACTTCTCGTCCTCCTCCTCCCCAGCCGCACCACATCGGAGTCTCTGTGTGCACGCGGTCGCCCAGCAACGTTTTCTTCGATCTTTCCCGAGGAGTTGCCAATCGCGCGCTTTTCCGCCCACGCGTCCTTCTGGACGCTCGGCTCAGCGGTGGTGGTGGCCCCCTTTCCCAAGAGGTCTCGACCCCTTTCCTGGGACCAGCTTCTCGTCCCGAACCGTTTCTTGACGCTCTCTTGGGCTCAATGCGGGCCCTCGGGGGCCGATTTCTCATGTATCCTTACATTTTCCGACCCTGACATTCGCCGATGTGCTTTGTTCAATCCGCGGCCCCAGAGGTCCTGACCCCTTCCCTGGGGGCAGTTTTTCAGCCCGGATCGGTCTGTGCTGGCCACAGGGCCCGATAGATGCCCCAGGAGGCCGAAATCCTGGAAAAAACGCTGGGCCGAAAACATCCGACATGCTGGGGTTGCGTTTTTCGTGACGCGAGGTGGTCCGGGCACCGCGGACTCTCCCGCCTCGACCTCGCCAGGTGCCCGCCGCGCGGAGGGGCCAGGCCGCCGACCGGCGCCAGCTCGCCACGGCCGTCCTCGGCAGCGGCGAGGAGGGCGGCGCCGCAGAGGGGCCCAAGCACGAGCCCGAGAGCGAGTCGCCGGGGTGGGAGCCCTCCGGGGCCGGCCCCGCGGGCGCCGCCGCCGCGGGCTCTGCCCGCGGCCCCTCGGCCGCTCCGCCTCGAGGCGTGGCGGCCGCGGCGCGCTGCCCGGCGCGGCAGCGGCTCTGGGCCGACCGCCCTGCGCCCGAGCGCGAGCCCTCGCCGGCCGCCCCTGCGGGCCCCGGCCGCCAGCTGCCGCCAGCGCCGCCCGGCTGCGCGTACGCCGTGGTGGGCTCCCGCCAGGTGCTCCTCAACATGTCCACCGGCCTCAGCGTGGACGTGGGGCGGGCGCCCGAGAAGGAGCCCGCGGCGCGCGCCGAGGGGGTCGGCGCGGGGTCGGCGCTCCGAGAAGGCCGAGCGGCCCACGGGCTTCCGGGAAGGCGTCGTCTTGGAGCCCAGATTCCTCCGCCTCCGCCTCCGCCTCCTCCTCCTTCGCCTCCTCCTCCTTTCTCCTGCTCCTCCTCCTCCTCCTCCTCTTCCTCCTCCTCCCTCCTCCCTCCTCCCTCCTCCTCCTCCCTCCCTCCTCCCCCTCCCTCCCTCCCTCCTCCCTCCTCCCTCCTCCCTCCTCCTCCTCCCTCCTCCTCCTCCCTCCTCCCTCCTCCTCCTCCCTCCTCCCTCCGCCCTCCGCCCTCCGCCCTTCTCCTCCTCCTCCTCCTCCTCCTCCTCCTCCTCCTCCTCCTCCTCCCATCAGGTCATGGAATAAGTTTTTTTTTTATTTAAAGTTTTCGGTACCCGCAGGGCCCTTGCTGGGCCCCGGGGCCGTGCAAACACGACTGCAGGATGAAACGCTGGTCCTGAGGGAGGGGTCCAGACCTTCTTGGGGAGCCACGTCGCGAACAGGTCAAGAGGGCAGAAGGGCCCTGGGCAGAAGGCAGAAGGGCCTACGAGCTTCCAAGCGTCGTCTTGGAAGCCAGAGGCCCCCCCAGCCTTCCTCTCGGAAGCCCTCCAGCCTGGCCGCCCCCCTCGCGCCACGCCCTGAGGAGGAGGAGGAGGAGGAGGAGGAGGAGGAGGAGGAGGAGGAGGAGGAGGAGGAGGAGGAGGAGGAGGAGGAGGAGGCCTGAGTATTTCAATGCTGGTTTTGGGAGGTCCCGACCCATCCCCAGACGTGATCGCGTCGTCAAAAAATCAGGGCGGCAAGTTCTTCGTTCTTTTCGGCCCCTGGGAGCCCGCGCCGGCCCCCGGGGCCGTCAGAGCACGGCTCAGGATGAGAAGCGCCAGTGCCGGGGAGAAAGGGTCCGGACTTCTGGGGGCGCCGTCCTGGCAAGAAATCAGGGCGCCCCACGTCTGGGTCCCCACCCCTTCCCCTTTGGGCCGTTTTTTTTAATTTTTTTTTTCATCCCGAGCCGTTTTGGCGACGGCCCTGGGGCTCGAGAGCGCCAAAACGCCCCCGTCGTGCTCTCTTCACGGCGCGAGCGTGTCTGGGCCTCGTGCGCGCCGAAGACCCTGAGATCCGACGTTGCGAACATGGACCAAGAGATCCAACGCATCGAAAAAAACAAGACGGAGGTTCTTCGAAGTTTTTGGTCTCTAGGGGCCCTCGCCGGGCCTCGGGACCGTCAAACAGCGCCTCAGGATGACACACCGGTCCTGGGGAGTGGGTCGAGACTTCCGGGGGCCCCGTATTGAAAAAATCAAGACGTCGGATCTCAGGGAATGCAACATCGCAGAATTTTGCTACCAGAGCCTTCGACCCCAGCTTCCTGCGGCATTTTTCGAGCCGCATTGATCTGTGAGTGTCCCGGGGTCCGAAGCTGGGCGAAAACGCCTGCTGCGAAACAAATGCAAAGCCTGGATTCCCAGACCCCCGACGTCGTACTTCTTTTCATGAGGTGAACCCTCAGCGGTCTGGACCCATTTCCCGCGACGGTCCTAGGCCGCAAAGGGAGAAAAACCCTCCGTC